ATTGAGGGGAGGTGAGCCAATATATATACGTAAAAATGGGAAGTTGAGAGGCACACGACACATCTCTGTAAGAAAACTTGAATTCTGAGTTCATAGTGAAGATTTTTTCTCTCCTCACAGTGGACGTAGCTCTTGAATTACAAGGGTGAACCACTATAAATTCTTATGTTGATCTTCTCTTAACTTTTTTTAATTACGTTACACACTAACCACCTAAAATCCGCTATTAATCTGTTGACGAAACCGTCAACAGTATTAAACGATATAATACATATATAGTCATGTATGTGTGTGTTCATACATGTGTATGTTGTATGCATGCATGTATATGTATCTCCCTAATTTGTTATTTTCTTTCCCTCTTTCCTATTACTACTCTTAACTTGATAATGTGGCCTCTGTCCTAAATTGATAATAATCTACATGAATATGAGTAATATATGCAAACATGTGTTTGTATACATATATTATGCCCTTTGTCATATTCCTTGTTTCTTTGCACTCTTACAAATTTTCTTATTTTTATCTCGAATTCTTGTTATGGGACTATCATAATATCAGAATTCAAATTGTATTTAAGTTATTATGGGCTAGAAAATATATACTGATCGTATAGTTCGGCTTATATACATTCATACATGAAATTATCTCAAATTACAGAAAATTTAGTAAAATGTTACATAAAATGAAACTTGAATAATAACCAAATCTTTGTTAATTAATTTTGTCGCAAATTAATATGACACTCTTTAGCTTCATACAACACATTATATCGTCTAACGGGGATATTTGTCAAATCTCAACCAATTAATATAATATAAATGTCATATGATCATGATATTTCAAAAGTTAAAAGGAAAAAAGATAAAGTTAAAAACCTAGGTATATGGACCCGTTTAGTTCGTTGATTCGAGTTTTTAATTCGAGTTTAGATGTGATTTTATGTGAGAGCTTTTTAATGTAGTAAAAAAGTTAAATGTGAATGTTTATGAGAGTTTTTTACTGTAACAAAACTCAAATTTTAAACTCAAATCAGTGAAATGAACGGGACCTATATTAATTTGCTAATTATGATAGTGCATGTTTTCTACAAAACAGAATGGACAAAATGTCCTGTGAATTGTACTCTTCAATTGGGAGATTAGCACGTTCATTTCATTTGTCTTTTATTGTGTGTGTGTGTGTGTAATCTAAACCCTAAGGGCTGCTTTCTCTCTCTTTCTTTTCTATTTTCTGTGGGTCCAAACAGCGACATTTATACCCTAGTGAAATCCAACCCACCAAGATATCGATCCGAGTAGTGGGTTGTAGTACAAAATAAAACCAAAAGCATCTTTGATCTCTATAGCCAAAATAAAATAAAATAAAGTGCTAAAAAAAAAAGAAAAACGCATCAAGAAGTATCTCTTCCACTTGTCTTCATAGCAACTTTTTCACACATTAAATGTGTAAATCTCTCTTTATAAGTCCAAATACTTTACAAATCACATTCAGCTGTTATACTTATACATATTATATATATATATATATAGATATATATTAGAACCACAAGTACTACTGTAGAGTACAGATGGATACTAGATAACATTCTCACCTTTAAAGTACCCCTTTAATGTTTTACAAAATATTTAACCTTCATTACAATTTGATCTTTTTATATTAGCAGAAGATTTTCGCCAAGATCTTTTAGATGACGTTCCTTTAGTTAGGAACCATAAACGTAAGTTGATTTACTATATTCATATTGCAATATCCAGTTGTAACAAAAAAAGATCATATAAATATGTAGGCAAATTAATCCAATCTTTTGGGATCTTATTGTGGCCAAATTGCTACCAATTTACTCGGCCTAAAGCATGCCGACAGTATTGTATCTAGTTCTAGTCTACGTAAACATAAAAATTGAAGATAAGAAAGTTAATTATATGCATAAAACATAGCACAACTTGTAATGTGAAAGATTTTGAGTTATGAAATGAACAAGGCCTTAATCTTTTTCCTCATGAAGTACTAACATACATGCATATATGCTATATATATATGTGTGTGTGTGTGTGTCAACTTGGTGTATTATTATATAATTATTTATTAACTTCAAATGGAAATACTCACTGCAATATTGTTTACATCTTGATCCACAAGTAATGACTCAGCAATCCAAAAACAAAAGCCACACTATCCATAAGTTTTGGATATTATGTTATGAGTTTCTCATAAGTCACAAGCTGATGATTGTGTTTTGAGTGATTATATATATTTGTAATAATCTTCTTGCCAATCCTTGGTTTACTAATTTGACATAATTGTATTAAGTTTTATGGTATCCTAAATACTGTGTTATAATTCTATTTCAAGTAGTATTGCTCTCTCTGAGAAATTGTGCAAAATAACCTCGTAATATAGGGAGAAAGTTGTCTCCTTAATTTAATTAAGATTTATTAGGTGTAATATTATATGGTATTTCAAATAGTGTTCGAACTAAGGTCTTCAAAAGAAATAGTCTTGTAACTTGGGAAGGATGGGTACCTCCTCGCAAAGGGATCGAAGTAATTGTGTTTGGACAATTGTTTAAAAAAAACACAGGTCTCTGCGAAATCCTAATGACATATTTGGGTTTAGGGTTTAAATGTAATGCTACTATTTTTTTTTTTTTTAAAGAAATTATCACGACTTTATTTTTGTTAGGGTAATATTATAATGACATAAATTATGATTTATAGTATACGTGTCAAAGATCCAATAATATTAATCTATATATAGAAAGGCAAATAATGCGTTCATGTAGTAATCAATACTTCAAAAAGTTGGGGAGCTGATAACTCAATGATTCTCACCAATAGTTGAGTCTAGCTCGAAAATTTTAGGACTATCTATCACTTTCTAAACAAAAAAATAAACAAACTAATTAATTAAGATTATATATATATATATATAAGAGGTGATATATTTGAGCTATCTTACTCGCTATCTAGGCTTGTACATAAACGTGAACAACCTGCAAACCTAACTTATTCTATTCCAGCCTAACCCGAAAAAGACAACTTATAACATTATTTTTTATTTTTCAGCCCACTAAATGTCTAGCCAGAGGTGTTTGGGGCGGTTTGTGGGTTAGACCTATAATAACCCGCACACCCCAACCCAACCCTCACAAACATGCCTGATAAGGAGCCTATGAGTGTGGACTGATAAAGATGGTTGTTGTTGCAGTGCTTGCTTTGGATGGATTTGAATTAAGCCTCTAATTTATGTTTGTTTTATGTTTGATGTTGGATGGACTATTTTGCTTCATGTTTGATGTTGGATTGAACTTTGAATTGCTATCTATTTGATGAGGAACTAATCAGTATTATTTCTATTTGATGAAGAACTTTGAATGTTGGAGTTATGTTTGATTATTAGTATTATTTCTATTTGATGATCAATATTATTTGATGATGAACTTTGAATGTTGGAGTTATTATTTCTATTTGATGATCAGTATTATTTGATGATGAACTTTGAATGTTGGCGTTATTATTTCTATTTGATGATGAATTTTGAATGTTAGATTGAACTTTGATTATTTAAATGATAAACCCGACTACCCAACCCACCTCACCCCGTCCCAACCTAACCCAACCCAACTCAAACATTATTGAGTTGTGAAATTTATATAATATGTGCAATTCGTACCTTTTAAAACGAGACAAGAAAAAACTTTATCTTGCACCAACCCAACCTATATACAGCCCGCTGTCTTTAGAAATTAATGAGCATGAAAAAGAAAGAAAACCCCACTTGAATCGCCCAGAGGAACATATATTTTTCCGTGAGAAGGAAGCTTCGTGACCCCTTCTTGACTCTTAAATGCTAATGGGTCCTTATAATAAGACATTGTAGAGATAATAGTATATGATAAAGTATTGTTAACAACAATAATTTATGATAGAAATAGACAATAAAATTCCACGTGGCAATTTATGCTGCGCAAAAAGTGGGAGGGACCCAGTTGGATTAGAAAGGCCATTAAGCTAGACAAGAGGGCTCAGTCAGTGGAGTATCCATATACTTTGTGAAATCTTTATCTATATAATTATTCATGAAAACCCTCTCAAAATATTCTCATATCTTGTCATATAGAGAATTCCATTAAATAAAACCATTAATTCTAAATTTCCCAAAAAAAAATAAGGGTTATCTTACTCGCTCGCACAATTTAAAATAGGAAAAAAAATTTACCTCAGATTATTATAAATTATGATTTTATTTATTTTATTGATTTAAATTTAAAATTTAAGTTTTTTACAATAAAAAATTTAAAAAATAATTATATTTAATTTTTTTATTATAATAAAAAATTTTCACATAATATTATATCTTAACTCAAATTAAAAGCTTAAATTAAATAGAATTTTTTATCATTATCATTGGGATGTCTATTTTTTTCAACAATAATCGATTGATTCTTTAGTAAAAGCAATTTTTTTGACCGGATTTAATCGCGTGTCAGACATCTAATAAACTAGCACATGTATTAAAATCGTTAAAAGAATTGATGCGCCTCAATTAGAGACAGTTAAAAAAAAAATAATAATAATAATTCAGGAAGAACAAAGACTGCAAATAGCTTTTTCCAATCTATTAATGACAAATGGTTGTCTATTAAAAGGTGGCGCAAATATAGAATTTTAGAATTTCAGAGCGGGACGAACTATAAACTTTTGAAAAGAAAATTACAAGTAGGGCGGCCGCCTACCCTCCACTGTACGTTGCTCTTCCTTTGGCCTCAACGAAAAAAGAACCAAAAGTTACAGTTAATGATAATACTTTTGTGTGCTTTTTTGAGTGGTAAGGGCAAAAATGATACGATCTCTATTTTCTGGAGACCAAATTTAAAACTCACAATTAATCTCATTGTCACAAACTCATCATTAAGTTCTCATTTATTTCATCGATTCGACATAAAATTTTTTAAAAATAATTAAATTTAATTTTTTTATTATAGTAAAATATTGTCACATAAAATCACATTTTAATTTAAATTAACGAGCTAATCAAGTCCTAAACAAAACCATAAAGGAAAAACCGTATACAAACGTACCCACACACACATATAACTATATATATACAAACATCATCCTCCTCCAACAACTTCCAAGCTCAATACTAAACCAAAGTCCAATTGTTTACTCACAGAGGCATTTCATCCAACACCATGGCTGCAACTTCCTTCTACTCTAGAAGACTCATCCTCCACTCTCCACTAACCACGGCGGCTCCTCCGTCTCCAGTCGCCGCTGCCGGCCACTCCTCTCCCTCCTCCTCCTCCTCGTCGGAGCAGTACCCCGGCGACAGCAGCTTCGACGCGAACGTAGTGATGGTCCTATCGGTCCTCCTCTGCGCTTTGATCTGCTCCCTAGGGCTCAACTCCATCATCCGCTGCGCATTGCGCTGCTCGACCTTCGTCTCCGCCTCCGGTTCCTCATCGGAATCCGGATCCGATTCCAGATCCGCCCAATCGGCGGCGGCGAATACCGGAGTGAAGAAGAAGGCGCTGAAGACCTTCCCGACAGTGAGCTTCTCCTCCGATCTGAACCTTCCCGGACTCGACTCCGAGTGCGCGATCTGCCTCTCGGACTTCGCCGCCGGCGACAGCCTCCGCCTCCTCCCGAAGTGCAACCACGGATTCCACGCGCGATGCATCGATAAGTGGCTGAACTCGCACTCCTCCTGCCCTAAGTGCCGCCACAACCTGCTCGAGACTTGTCAGAAGATCGTCGGCGCCGCAAGCTCGTCGGAGCAGTTTCCGGCGGTTCAAGATCCGTCGGCGGTTGTTCTCGCCGTTTCGCCGTTAGAACCTGAAGGTCCGATACGTAGTTATAGAGGAAATAGCTAATTGATTTTAATTTCAATTTATTAATCTTTTTTTTTTTCTATTTTCTCCACTCTTGAAGTTGTAAATTGTAATTGTATGATATTATTGTTGTGTTTGTATGGGGTTTAGACTCTTTAAGAAATTAAAAAAATAAAAAAAATAAAAAAAAAGCCCCTCAACTAGATAAGCTAGTAGAAGAAAAATGCAGTTGTGTAGTTGTAAAATTGTATATAGTTTTATTTATTTTCAAGGAAAAAATAGTAATGTTAATATTTTCTTTTGGGGCATTGTTACATATTAAAGAGGTTTATGTAGATTAGAAAAATTAACTTGTTAATAATGTATAGTTATGAAAATTTAACAAAATAAAAATTACTGTTATGAACCGTTAATAATTTTTTTTTTTATCGAAGTTTATTGGAAATGCATAATTTTATAAGTTGGCAATGATATTAAAGTGACAAACTTGAAATGATTTTTTTGAAAGTGCTTAACCAATTTTCTACATTGCACTTTTTTGGAAGCTAAATTTTAAGTTCACTATTTTATTGAGAAATATTTCTAGATACATTATCTATCTAATTATGATGGTATTTGCAACATTAAGAAAAAAATTTATTTTTTGAAAAGAAAGACTATGCTCATTGCACATTTAACCTGTATATGTGGCAATTAAGAAAGTTTTGCTTCCATTAATAAATTCCTTCTAGAAAAATGTTAATTATACAAAATGTATATATTTAATTGTCTTAATTTTACATTAAATTCGTATTAAAAATTATTTATTTTACATATTTTTTCAATGTGATGTGATTTTGATAAAATTTAATAATTATAAATTGACTCTATTAATAGACTAACATGCTGGAGAAAGTTTCAAAATATAATTAAGTTTTGCTAAAGTGGCTGTCTATGAGAAAAGTGCACTATTAAATGGCAATGGACCAATTGGAGAAGTCAACTGAATGTTTGAGTGTTTGTTGCCTTTAGTCTCTCTATAATTCTACACAATCAGCGACAAAAGAAACAATTTACAATCTGGTTGGTGAATTAATCTAAAAGAAAGAAAGAAACATATACATGAACTTGAATAATTTCAAATTCCAATATGCCAACAAAAAATAAATGGAGTGAAACTTTCCCACATAAGATAATCACATCCAAAAGAGATATTTTAATGTAAAAGGGGACACAAAGATACGCATATAATTCTCTCAAAAAATCAATCAAAGAGCATATATATTATAATAACATAAAACATTTGCAATGGAGGCTGAGGGTGATACCACTATAATGCTTTGAAATCAAGTCAAATGAAATAAAAAGTGAGATTTTGTATCATAGTATTCTGCTCACCATGTGGAGTGTTTCATATCATTATCATAACTACCCCCAAAGGCAGGAGGCGACTGAACTTTGAATCTGTCACAAATATTTTGTTGGGGTGGTCATATGGTAGGCAGGAGGCGACTGAACTTTGAATCTGTCACAAATATTTTGTTGGGGTTGCCACATAATGTGGGAAAATATATCATGGATCGTGAAACTATTGGCATTAGCAATTTCACACACTCAAATGTTATTATTGAATTCGTTTAGAGCGAAAAAATAAAGAATAAAAAAGTTGCATATTTTATTAGGATATTTTCTTCAGTATATCTTAAAATGATGAACTATCAGTAATTTTTTATTTTCAACCGTCGAATCTTATCAAAATCACATTAAAAAATACAATTAATTTAAAGGCTAGAGATAAAAATTTAGTGATAATTCTTTTTTTCTAGACTTATCAGCAAAACTCCCTATTATTAAAAATCTTCTGACTGAATCCCGTATTGCCACAGAAACTCATCTTTGCTACAAGTAACGCATAGTTGGATGCACTACTAGAGGCAAAATAGTTCGATACATCCATGGGATGTACGTGGAGAATTCTTTGATTAGATATAAAATTATATTTAAGTAGTACTATATTTAACATAGTTTTTGCTTTTGTTTTGGTAATTAAAAAAAGTAAAAATTGTGACTTTTAATAAGTATTTGCCCTTTGGAACCATATTTTTAAAAGTGCTTAAATGAGTAATGGCTTTTAAATTTTTTAATGAGAAATAAAAATATTAGAATCAAGTTTATAATGTCATATTTAAATTTTAATACGAGTTTTAAGGGCCCGTTTGAGAGAGTTTGTGCATTTATTTTTAAGTGACAAGAGAAAAAGTAGAACTTTTTTATTAGTATTTAAATAGTGCACGGAAAATAACATTTTTATTTCAAAAGTTTTTGAACATATTTGATACATAAGTCAAAAGCCCATATTGTTACAAAAAGTAATGTAAAATGAGAATATGGATGAAATTTTTAATTTGTTATTCACAGATAATAAAAAGTTAAAATCGTAAATAAAAAAACTTTTCATAAGCTCATTTTTCACAAGTACTTAAGAAGTGACCTATCCAAAAGAGCTTATAGAAGTCAAAAGCATTTTCATGTGTTATCCATCTAAACAGTCATAAAAGCAGCTTTTAAACTAAATAAGTCAAAAGTAACTTTTTTTAAGCCAATCTAAGCAGGCTCAAAGACTATTCTAAAGAACTTTTTTGAGAGGGCATATTTGTGACTTTGACTAGAAACTTTTATAGAGATCACAAACATTTCTAACAGAGTATCTAAACACCCTGTCTCCTGAATCAATAGGCCCCCTCTCCCGAATTAATAGGTCGCCATGACCTCGGTCTATTTTAACTCAATAACCACGGTCTTAGGTCGTCATGACCTCGGCCTATTAATCCACGGTTCGTTTTGTTAATGTCAAAAATCAAATTCTATATAAAGCCCGCCCTTAAAAATTTAAAATCAACTCTTATACCCGAAAATTAACAAATATTACTTACTACACATGCCCAATAGACCCCAATATACTTAAATCTAACACCCTAATTCTCTAAAAGCTTTACATTAATCAGAAAGGAATTGTAGTAAAAATAAAAAATAAAAAAAAACAAAAGGCAACTTCCTCTACTCTCTAAAAGCTTTACATTAATCAGAAAGGAATTGTAGTAAAAATAAAAATAAAAATTAAACAAAAGGCAACTTCCTCTATAGTACTCCAACGAGACCCGTCAGCTTCACATCACGTTTCCGTCTCTTTTCAAGTATGTTGCGCACTAGGGAAAGGGTTTGATCACAAAAGAAAAAAGAAGAAAACTAAAGGGCAAAATCTCCGAAGAGAAGAAGAAGAAGAGAAAGGAAAAAGATATCACCAATCATCAACAATCACAAGCATTTGAATCATTAGACTCTTCTTCTCAATTGATAATCTTGTTGCTCTTATCTTAATTATTTTCTTATTTCTTTTTTATTTCTTTTTTGTTTTGATTAATTATAATAGCACGTAGTTTATAGTTGAATTTTTCAAGAGATTTGAGTATAATCATTATTGTTTTGTGAATAGAGTTTGACTATTGTGTTTTTTTTTTTTTTTGGTAAACTTTAGGGTTTAGTTAGCTAAATACACTATACTCATTATGTTCATAATGTCCATTTGCCAAAAAAAAAAGAAAAAAAAAAACCAGAATGTATTGTTGATTGTAATTTTTTTGTAGTTGTTATAAAGACTATTATCCCTGACAGAAATTCCTAGCTTCATCACCGGAGTTTGGTCTCAAAAAAAAAAAAAACCAAAAGCAGCTTCTAGAAAGCCTGTTAAACTGGCCATTAGACCATTAGACTTATAGCTATATAGTACCGTGTATAGATCTGAACTACAAAAGAATTGAATTGGTATGCTCCTCATAGTGCGTGTGTGTGTGTCTATGTGTATGTGTATATATATGTGTGTATATATATATATATATTTGTCAATATCTTTCTTTAGGAGAATATTTTTGGTAGGATAGAAATTATTTCCTTACTCGTACAATACAAACCTGAATAGTTAATCATATTTGCATACTATTAGTATTTGATTGTGATATAATCTTTCATATTTGTAACTTGCTTTTTTACTGTTTTACCATCTTAAAAGAGTCAAATTGTTACTAATATTAGAAATCAAATAGCATATATGCATATCTAACAATTCAAAACATATATTATCAAAAGCCACAAAAGTTTTTGGAATAAAATATGTTGTGATCGTGAATAATTCACTTATTTTATCCTCCCTCCTTTCGCTTTTTCATCACTAAGATTAAGATTCCATTTTAAACTAGAAATTGAATCTTAACAGAGCAATATTAAAGATACCAAATGCTTTTTGTATTTTATTATTTAGCATGCATATATGTCTTCTCGGCAACCAAACGGGGCGTTCTTTGTGCTCAAAGCACCACTACTAACTCTCATGCTCTCGAAATCTTACACGCATACATATATAGCAAACTTTACAAGTAGACTCGCATAGGTTCTATTGGAATTACACTACAAATTTAACGTCTCATACATCTTTCTCATCAGAAAAGACCTCTAGATAAGGTCCGAAAAGTTAATACTTAGAGTAGGTGAGAAAATGTATAATTTTTGTGGGGAATCCTTACGGTGGAGTGAGCTATTTTGCTCCATCGGTAAAGACAGTTATTTTTAACAGTTAATTTTATGCCGTTCTGTATTAAAAACTTACAACGCGCTACACAGAACTACTCTAGCTGTAGATTTGACCGTTAAAAACTCTCATTTTGCCTTTTAAATTTTGGTTTGATCCCATCAGTAAAGACAGTTATTTTTAACAGTTAAATTTACACCGTTCTATATTAAAAACTTACAACGCGCCACATAGAACTACTCCGGCTGCAAATTTGACCGTTGAAAACTCTCATTTTGCCTTTTAAATTTTAGTTTGATCCCATTTAATTCCTTTTTGTTAGAATTTTTGTCAAAATTAAATGAAAAAATTAGGAATTAAGTGTATTCACGTGAGCAGAAATATCACATCATCGCTTTACTATTTTTTTCTGTCTGTTTTTAACAAAAAAATTTAACAGAAGAGACTAGATTAGTTTAAATGCAAATAAAGTGAAAATTTTTAAATTTTAAAAGAATAAATCGAAAATCACCCTAAAGATTTAAGGGTATAATTGAGATTATTGTTTGAGTTCCACCGAATGGCAAGGTTTTGTGTCCTGCAGTGGTCATGCTTTAGGATCCTACCACTCCACCCACAAAACAACAAAAGCATATGACATGAGATAGTAGGTTCTAGACTTTCAACAAAAAGCACGCATAAGATATATAATAGGATATTGCCATTATTCCAAAAA